ATAAACTTGTACATGCTATCAAGCGCAAGGCCAAAGAAGTGGCTTTCATCTCGCCAGAGATGTTAGAAAGACGACAAAAAACACGCAAGCTGCTTGAGAAGATGCAGCATCAACTTGGTATGGCTAGCGGTGAGGAAGGAACTGCAATGCATCCACTGACTAGCGACCAAATCAAAGAGGCAATGCAAAATCCAGAATTCGCAGAAATAGCCAAAGAATTTCAACAACTGCAGGGGACGTAAGACCGGCGATATTTTTTTATTTCTATTTTTGCAATTGTCCGAGATTACTTGCGGTTGATATAGTAGCTGCCTCATATAATTCAGTTAAGTGACTAATTAGTGACATGCATATATGCCCGAACACGGGAAGATCGGGAAATCAGAGTAATTAAACTGAAGAAATTCAAATTAATAGGGTGATATTCAAGACAATAAAAGCATGGACGGAAGTGCCAAATTGATATTGTACCAGCTAAAAATGACATCTTTCTTAAGAAAGTAAAAACGTCAAAAAATTAAAGGTTAAAATGTAATTTTTAAAAGTATTCGACGTATTTTTAAGCAAAAAACACAAATTTCAGTACATCATAAAAATGCTCCTTCTCAAAACGTTGTAATTTTGGCGACGGCTGAGTGAGTGTCCTGCAGTTTTCAATGTTGCCAATAGATTGCCTGAGCAGAAGGGATAAGCAATTATTGTCTGGCAACGTTTCTAAAATAAAGTAGCTATTGAGCTCATTATCCTAATTAATGATTTTTCGGAGGGCCTATTGACGCCTGTTTTTAAAATAAGTTAAACATTAAACTTCAGCGCCAAGGAAAATAAACGTTCATAACAAAGGCCGCTCATGAATATTCTCTCGTGTTTCTTTTCCACAATAATGCTCTGATGGAGTGTTTGGTCGTTTAAGGTCGACTTTCATCCTTTTATCCAAAGAACACTTAGGCAATATTTGAAAGCAATTAGCTTGCTTACATACTGCTGTGACAGGCACTCAGCATTTCTCGGTCGAAGTAGTAAAGCCTATAATTTATCATTTTATTTGAAGCACTTTTGTTAGATTTACTGGCTGGTAAGTATAAACACTCCATAGACAAGTCACAAAAATCTCAAAATCGCGTTCATCATCTTCAAAGCATAAGGAAGAAGAAAATAGGGCAGGTTCATGGACCAAATTGTATTTGAAATGACGTTTCGGAACCCTTCTCGCTTCCATCTTCAGAGCACTGTGGTTGCTGCCTCTGGTGGTCTTGAGCTAGCCAGCCAGTAGCTAACTCTAAAGCCTTAAGTTAGCCTTCGTTTCAGAAGAAATTTAAAAAAGACTTGATTAACCATCAAATTGCTACAAGGTGTAATATCGTGTTCATGTTTTTATATAATATAGTTACACTTGTAGGGGGCATGAGAAAGCTATAAAGAATGCGTAACAATTACATAGCCAGTTGTTTATCGAATAACAGTCTTCAGGAAACCCAATGATATTTGTTCAAAAGCCGGAAGCCTGATGTTTTTAAAATACCGTAGACTTGTACGCTCGGATAATTTGTTACAATTCCAGTCTAACATGCACTTCTAATCTACAACGCATTTTTAATTGTGATTAAAATTGTCTGAAACCAGTCACTGATCACACTTCTATGATTTAGTATCAGTGTCTCGTTGAGACAGAAGGATGCAGTTCTTATCCCCCAACATAAATACTGTCCCGCAAAAACAAAAGCTTGCAGTTTTACTCTGTCTGTGAACTTCAAACTTTCAAGAGAAAGCGAGACTTTGAATAGAACAGCTGCAGACAACTAAACTTACCATCTCAAAGTTATTCTTTCTCACGCTCTATGCAGGCAAATTCTCGGGCAAGATCCGCAATCAAGTACTGTGTTGGAAAATATCAAGCAGCAAATGGACATAGTTATGTCCAAGACTGGTGAGAAGCCCAATTACGACAAGATGGTCAACCTGTACAGTCTCCTGAGAGAGGCAGACCGGAAAAGTACTCTGGACGACCTAGAAGGTAGCGAAGTACGCTCAGTACGTTCCCGTCTTTCTACGCACTTTTGAAAAAGGCTAATTAATTTCAGTGTTCGCCCTTTTTATCGGAGAGCGATTTTGGACCGAATTATAAACCAAAGATAGGCTCTTACCGTATTCTTTCGGAAGGACATGAGAATAAGGGTTTTTTACACAACAGTGATTTAAACTATAGGAAGTTGACTACTATGGTAGTCAAATTCCTGTCCTCACATATCTTTCATTTTGTTTTTTTCAGAACCGCCATGATAGGGTCGCTTTTTTATTTAGGGGGATCGGTCTAAAAATTGAGCTTCAAATCCGTGACCACTTATACTGGCGAAATCAATTCAGTAATCTCTTAGTCGGCAAAAAGTATTAACTGATGCTGTCCGTTGGGATGCAAGTCTAAAATTACACTGACTGGGGTCCCGATGAATTAAGAGAAAGCTCAGATTCCTTTTTTGGCCGAGTACGCTGACCCGTACCGGTCAGTTTTCTTCCAAAAGTAGAGGTTTTTCATTTTTTATAGGAAACGTGCGGTTACATTTTCGTACCGGTTCGGCATTTCATGCGTGAACGGTCAGGGGACCGTTGATTCTGTAGGATACGCATTACAATCCTTCAGTGAGCCGCAAATCATTAGGCCTTGATCAGAGTGCTACTGAGGCCTGCCTTCGGAAAATGTAGCATACATGTAACTAAAATATTAATGCCTACCCAGCCCAAGTTCAAGTTCTCTTAGACAACGAAACATGATGGTCATCAACAAAAAAATTAACTTGTTCAGCTAAGAATACTTTTTTTGCTTTGTACTATTTTGTTTCAGCAAGTGCCTTTAAGTGGTACTGCAATTGGGGTCAGTAATATGGGTAAAATAAAGAACTTTTTTGCGAATAGGTGCACTTTCGGCTAGTCCTCGTTTTATGGCGTAATGAGTGGTACATAGTCTTACGCATGACAATACCCTGATTCAAGCATTCACCTTATCGCGTTTACCTTTGATGATGCCCATTAAATGCTACCTGAGTCAATAACATTGTTATGTACTAAGGTTTTATACTAACGAAGGTGCAGGATATAATAACTGTGAAATCCCGAGGAATGGCTATACTTATTAACGTGGCATGCTATCTTGGGAAAATATCGATGCTCCAAACGCTCCTGGATACGAATGTTTTAACAGCTACGTGAGTTCAGGTCAACAGCCTTGTCGGTGGTAAGCTAATAAGTTGTAAAGTGTAAATAAATTTACAAAATGCATAAAATAATCATAAAATATAAATCTTAAAAAGTGAGGTATTTGCAAGACAACAGCGTAGGACACGTTTATAGTATTCGCGCTATGGAATTACCACTTGATTTAAATGTAATGTAAACAAGATCTACTGAAAGTAAGTGAGCAGTTTGCCTGAACTCACATCGGTTATCCGTTAGATAAGTTTTTGACCGTTCGGATTAACCGTTAATAGGTTATTATTCAGGCATCTCTTGAACACACTCACGACGGGGCAATGTACACCATACTTTGGCGAGGAGTTTTACCGCCAAATTACTCTCTGTGGGAAAAAAGGTTGAGCGTTGATTTGTACAACACAGTTCTTCTTTCAGCTGGCATTAAATTTCCTCCGACGTCCCTTTTGTTGGTGCCATTTTGAAGCGATCTTCCCACTTGACACTCGAAACAGTTTCCCTTAGCAACTGAAACATGGCTATAAGGTTACCTACTTTTTGTCTATGGTGGAGGGCATACCGTTTTAAGCCAGTCAGGCGCTGCTCGTGCGTCAACTGTTTGAATTCAGGGACAGCCTTCGTCGCGCGTCATTGGACACCTTCAAGAATCCATATGTCTTTCTGAAGCCAAGGCCGCCAATCTGTGCCGTATATTCCAGGTGCGGTCACATGAATGGTTCATATACTTTATCGAAGCTATCTGCACTCAAACAAATGCTTTTCATATGGCGAGCATAATCGACATTGCCCACGCTGCGGCTTTGGAGCACTATTTTGTGACGCTTAAGTCGTCTATGAAAAGTACGCCAAGTTGTTTTTCCACACGCTTGGTTTCAAATGCTTAGTTTCCCAAAATATATTTTCGTGAGAGTGCATTTTATCGGCGTCTTGTTGATAACATTTGCGTTACTACACACTTTTGGGAATTGAAATTCATGCCCCAACTCTTGCTCCCTGTGTGCAGCTGCTGTGTGTCCTCTTGTGGTATCTGAGAGTCCCTTTCGTTATTTCACCACCCTTCGCAGTTTTGGATCACTAGATCAGGTTTTACTTCTTGCACTTGGTCATTTACATAGATGATGAAAAGAAGTGACCTATGAGGAAACTAAAAAATGTGCAGGGCTACTTAAGACGTTGAACTATTTATTTTTGTATTGGCTTCAGTGTTTCTTTTAACTTGTACGT